TATATGCATGAGAGAGAGAATAATAATCAAAGAAAAGGCCCAACCCAGCCTTAAATTCTAATAATCATAATGTCTGGCATGACAAATTACATCTATTGATGCCGGTGCAGTAGTGGTACTATTATCTGGGAGACAATCAGCAGCTATCTAATTGAACTTATAGCCCGCTCAATGGGAGTGAACTCATGGATGGTACTCTAAGCACAGCCAAATACACATGGCAGGAGAGGACACAGACACTAGAGAAAAACCTATCTCTTTCATATCTCTAGACAAATAAAATTTCTTTCATTTTTTTTCTTTTTGAAACAGGGTCTCCCTGTAGCCCCAGCTGGCCTGAAATTTGCTATGTAGACCAGGCTGACCTTGAACTCACAGAGATCTGCCTGCCTCTGCTGACAAGTGCTGGGACTATAGACATGGGCCACCACCCCAGGTAAAATTTCTTACTATATGCTAAACATCGATCCTTATATTTACAGACTAGCATACCATACACCACTCATCAAAGAAGCTTCATTTTGCAACTGATGGAGGCTATTGCAGAATTGTACAAGTGGTAAGGCATGGAGAACATATGTCTGAGAGATGCTCAGTACTAGATGACACATCTACATTTGAACCTCTACAACTAAGGCTCATGGAACATAGCAGTGCAAGGGGTACAGAAAACAAATGTATCTCTCAGGTCTCACCAGTAAAACTTCCTTAGCCAGAAGAATGCGATGCACACATATATCCACAACTGGCCAAGTTTTAAAGACTAAGAGACTGCCGAGTGTGGATAGGATTTCTCTTTGGAATCTCATTCACCCACAGTTCTGGGACTGTTGTGGAAGAGGGGGCAGAAAGATTTTAAGAGCCAGGGTTTTTTCAAGAACACAGGGAAGCAGAGGCTTTCAGGCCACTGGAAGCTTGCAAATGCAAACTTGTGGAAATGGTGGCATCAAGCCCAGGACCCATGCAAACACCATTAAACAAGGGCTCTAAGGGGAGGAGAGAAATGGGTGATAGGCAGGCACTATAATGAGAACTACTGGAGACTTATTTCTACAGTGTGAGGGATAGTATGCCTTATGCATGATCTCTAGATGGACCGACTAGACTCCAGTGGACACATTTGCACTGAAAGGCATCTGGGTCTAAATGCTTGACTGGATAGGACTTGATATATATGGAGAAATACATGAGGTCTGGTGGAAGGATGGGGGAGGTGTGGATAGGGGAGTGGGTCTAAATTTAATTAAGAACTGTTGCATGAAATTACAAAAGCTCAATAAAAATATTTAAAGGATGAAATTAAGAGGAATTGGAGTGATGTGAAAATAATTAAGGGATAGGGAGGTATGGAAATGATGCAAATAAAGTACACATGTATGAAACTTGTGTGTGTGTATGTGTGTGTGTGTGTGTGTGTGTGTGTGTGTGTTCCCACTAGATATAATTTTAGAATGAACAGACACTAAGGAAAAGAAAAAAGAAGTATCACTGGGATATAAATTACTATTTTCCATGAAGTCAGGTTATAACACAGCTGGTAATGAATGAATGCCTATATGTTCCCTCACAAACTTCCAACACCAATTTCCATGTATATCATGGACTTCCTGAGGACATGCATCATGATGTGCTCACTGTTTATCGGTACAGTCATTGATTATAGATTAGCTTCTTGAGGAAATTATAGTTCATAGTTATTGTTCCTGTTACATAAAAAGGGTGGGGTACAGGATGCTTTAAATCAATATGTACAATTCTGAAGACTAAGGATTAGTGTGTGTTTGACAATATGCTGGTAGCAGTCAAAATAGTGTATAGGATGCTTCAAAATGGGTGGTAGAGATTTTGAACGTTCTCACAACAAACAAATGTTAAATGTTTGTAAATGAATATGGTATGAACTGATTTGGTGATTGCACAGTGTTTACATGTTACATAACATTGTGTCCATAAAAGTGACAATAATCATTTATCAATTAGAAATATAACAAATTAAAAATGTTTTAGAATAATAAAAATCATGCACATTAAGATAGTGAAAATAAAAAAGTGCTACATAATCAATCATTTTTATTGTGCAAGTTAACAGTAATTCCACACGGGTGATCCAAGAAATCTACAACACACCCTGACTTCCTCTCCACTATGATTTTAGTAGATTACCCCAAATGCGAGTTCTTATCTCCCGGGTCTTAATGCAGTATACAACAGGGTTGAGGACAGGAGGTACCAGGAGGTAAACATATCCCATTATAATGGAGACCACAGGTGGAACATGCTTCCCAAAGCGATGGATGTTAGACACCCCCAGCATGGGACATAGACCAGCAGTACAGCCCAGAGGTGGGAGACACAGGTGTTGAGAGCCCTGAATTGTTCCACCTGGAAGACAATGCCCAATACAGGGATCAGTATTGTCAGATAAGACAGAAGAACGAATACAGAGTCCATTCCAAAGGTGATGATAACAATGATGAGGCCATAAATACTACTAAGGCAGTGGTTAGAGAAGGAGAGCTTGATGACATCTGGGTGTAGACAGTAGGAATGGGACAGCACATTGGCCTCACAAAACCTCAGTCGCTTGATGAGAAATGGTTCTGGAAAGAAGATAGCCAGAGACTGCACTTAGAGACCCACAACTATTTTGGCAATGTTTACATTAGTCAAAATAGTAGTGTACCTGAGTGGGTTGGAGATGGCCACATAGCAGTCAAAAGCCATGATAATATGAATGTCTGATTCCACCAGGGAAAAAACATGGATGAAAAATATTTGGGTGAGGCAGACATCAAAGTGTATTTCATGATCATTAAACCAAAAAAACCTCAAGTACCATTGGCAAGGTGGTAGCACAGATTCCCAGGTCACTGGCGGCCAGCACAGAGAGAAAAAAGTACATGGGTGTTTGTATGAAGGGCTGTTTCCACCTGAATAACCACTAAGACGATGCTGTTTCCCATCAAAGCAATGGCATAGAGAGAACAGAACAAGAAGGGTATTGCTGTATATGAGTCCTCCAGGCCAGGGAAGCCAGTCAGAAGGGAGGGTCCATAGGTGCTGGTGTTGAAAAGGACCATGATGTTTAATATGGAGTGTTGAGGTTGACAGTCTTCTCCCTATAGTGAAAGAATCTAATTTACTGCAGTGTCCTACTTTTGCCTTTGTTACTCTAATAAAATACCCTGACAAACAACTTAGGAGAGAAAATGTTTATTTTAGTTCACATTTCAGGTTATAGTGAATCATAGTGTGGACATGAGATGGTAGGAACTAAACAGCTATGACGTCCTATATGAATAAAAGAGCAGAGAAGAATGGTTGCTGAAAACTCTGCTCACTTTCTCTATGCATATGCCCAGTGATCAAACTTGGAGTGTTTCTTCCCACTGTAGCCTGCAGCTTGCCACATCACTTACCATAGTACAGGCAATTTCTCATAGACATTCCCACATGTAAACCTAATCTAGGTAAGTCTTCATTGAAACAATCTTGCTAGGCAATGCTAGATTGTAAGAACAATTAAAATTAATCATCAGATATCATCACCATTACCATTCTTTCCTGAGGCTACATTATGAGTTTGTAAGAACTGATTGTTTCTTTCACCCCTTTCACCACTTGTTAACACTATAGCAAAAGAGAAACAGCTAGTTACCAATAATATTTATTTAAGCATCATAACATCAAGTTTATATCAATAATTATGTTCCCATTGAAAGCTGTTTTAGACAAAACATGAAATATATAAAATGCCTCTGAACTTGCTTTTGCATATTTCATAGAAAATATCTGTTCTAGTTTGTTCTTCATTGCTGTGACAATATACTCTGACCACTACCAACTTGGGGAGGAAAGGGTTTATTGGTCTTACATCTCCCAGATCACAGTTCATCAGGGAGCCCAAGGTAGGAACTCAGGGCAGGAGCCTAGAGGTAGGAGCTGGAGCACAGGCCATGGAGAAATACTGCTTACTGTCTTGCTCTCCTGGCCCCTGCTCAGCCTGCTTTCTTATGCAACACAGGCCCACCTGCCCAGGGGTGGCACCACCCACAGTGGGCTGGGTCCTCCCACATTACTCATCAAGAAGATGCCCCTCAGACATGGCCACAGGCCAGTCCAATAGAGCAAATTCCCCAATTGAGGCTCCCTCAACCCAGGTGTGTCAAGTTGATACTAAAGCTATCGAGCACAATTGACCCGTTGTCAACTTGACATACAAACATCACTATTAAACCATAACTTTCCAATTTCTGTCCCCAAGATATGGTGTTAATATCACAACATAAGACAGTACAACCTTAAAAACTCCCACAGTCCTTAAAAAACCCAAACACTTAAAAGCTCATAGTCTCTTTTAAAAGTCTTTTAACTGTGGGCTTCTGTAAAATCCAAAACAAGTACTGTCTTATTTCAAAGGGAAGAATAGGGCACACCTAAGCAAAACCAAAGTCCAGCAAAGTAGATCGAGGCTGGACATCTGGGATTCACTCATGATCTTCTGGGCTCCAAAGGGTACTGGCAGCTCCACTGCTCTGACTCTGCAGTCTACAGCACACTCAGCTCATCTCATAGACCCAAGCCAGCTCCATTCCACACTTACTGCTGTCCTTGGTGGTCATCCCATGGTCCTGGCATCTCCAAAAAGCTGGAATCTCCACTGAAACTGAGGCTATGCCTTCACCAAAGGCCTCTTCTTGCCTCTTGGGGTGCAAAGCCTCAGATTTTCTCCATGACCCCTTCAATCCTGGGGTCTTCATTGCAACTGAAGCTGCACTTTCACCTATGGCCTTTCCTGGCCTCTCAGAGTGCCAAGCCTCAGCTGCTCTCTGTGACCCCTTCATGCTTTCAACACCAGAACCATGCAGGAGACTCTTACACATTACCAAGTCCTGCTTCCAGCTTGAAATAGAGGTGCAGGTCCCCTTTGGGTGCTGAACCTGAAGAAATACCTCCCAGAAGACTCACCACAGTGATGCTGGTCTCTTGTTACTTACAGCTGATTTTTCAGCCCCAGCTAACCAGCATCAATTGTCCCAGTAAAGCAAAGGTT